TTGTTTACTAATAAATGTTGCAGTAGTCCNAAAGAGTAATTAAAATATATATGAATAAACAAAGAGAATATGTACAGTTTTTTTTTCAGAGCTATCAATAAATGCTCTATATTTGTCTTCGGGATATGGAATTTTAACGGCATTGTATTGATTTTCGAAATTTTCAACCAAACCAGCTATAGGAATAGCATTCTTGTATTTGGCCCAATCAATTTTAGGTGCTTCTGGGGATAATGCAAACATTCTGCAAATTATTTCATTCAATATTTAAAATATATATTAGTAATATAAATTTATATCATTTTTTTCGTTACTCATTTATCACATTATATTAATCTATAAAATTTTAATTTTTTGAAATATTTAGCGATAAACATTTAATTCGGTAAAAAATGATCTTTACATACTTTCGGAGGTACCCATCAGATTTAGCTTTAAAAGCTAAATAAGCAGATTTTTGAGCTTCAGGAACACGTTCGCTAATAGCAATCCAATTGACAGACGACTGAGCAATTCTTCTAGCCATTTTAATTAATATAATAACTTGTATAAAAAATTGATAACAAAAGCACACTTTGTTTGAATTTATTCAATTTACAAATGATATTCAGATTCTTACAAATTATTTATGTTATCACGCAGCTGTTGGGATGGCAACGATATATCGAACTTATCGATATACTGTTTCGATATATCGATTTTTTTTAATATCGATTAAAGATTTTCGATATCTATATTTAAATTTGTATTTTTTGTTAGTTTGTCTAGCCAATGAAAAATTTTAAATGTTTATAAATACATTAAACTTTAAGTTATATGCATGCAATAGAAAATAAAAGCTATTTGTAGTCCAGGTTACTCTAGATGTTATGTTCACTTTTACTTTAAGGGAACTATCCCATAAGATAGTACCCTTAAGTCGATTACTACTGAAATTCATAAGTTCGCCATTAAGGTTAAGTCGGACATTGACCTTAAAGAACAGCTTGAAGTACGCGTTCGTCAATTAAGTGTTTTTTGAAAAACAGTTTCGCGAACATCAAGAGGCTATTGTAAGCGCGTTAATAGAACTCTATCGTGTCGCACAGTTCGATAGTATCGTTTCGCCGGCGACCTTTGAAATGGAAAACGTGTTTTATGATATCAGTGCTGCTGCATTACTAGTTCGAACACCCCGCAACCCATTTACTCATTTTAAAATGAAATAAAATACATTTGTAAATTAAATAGAGTGTTTCACAATTTTCTATTTCGTGCACGAGAATTGCTGTGATCACACTGTATGAAATTAAACAATTTCTAATAATAACACAATATATTTTCCTTTTATATAAATATTTATTCCAATATATTTTTTGAAAATTCAGTAAAATTATAATGTAACTAACAAAATGAAAAACTTAATGGGCAGCTTCAACTTTTTTTTTGTTTTCCTGACCCTTCTTCTTGCGGCTCGTCAAATACATAATCAATTTCTTGATGAGGCCAGAATGATGGCTTGTTTTCAAGATCTAATGTCAAATCAGGCTCAATATAAGCAGCATCTTCATAAGTCATTTGGGAATATGGCAACAAATTCTTAATTTCCTCGATCCTTAATTCTGCTTCTTTAATATTAGAGGCAGCTACCTTTTTAAATTCTTCTATTTCCTGCATCTGTAATTTTCATAAGAGAATAATTAGACAATGACATTATATGAATAAATGGTAAAATTTAAAAGCACAAAAATAAAACCTTTAATTACAAAATTTAAATCTGAATACAGTAATTTTAAAGACAATTTGCTAAAGATTAATAAAAATATATATGAATAAATAAAGAGAATATGTACAGTTTTTTTTTCAGAGCTATCAATAAATGCTGTATATTTATCTTCAGGATATGGAATTTTAATGGCATTGTATTGTTTTTCAAAATTTTCAACTAAACCAGCGATAGGAATAGCATTCTTGTATTTGGCCCAATCAATTTTAGGTGCTTCTGGGGATAATGCAAACATTCTGCAAATTATTTCATTCAATATTTAAAATATATATTAGTAATATAAATTTATATCATTTTTTTCGTTACTCATTTATCACATTATATTAATCTATAAAATTTTAATTTTTTGAAATATTTAGCGATAAACATTTAATTCGGTAAAAAATGATCTTTACATACTTTCGGAGGTACCCATCAGATTTAGCTTTAAAAGCTAAATAAGCAGATTTTTGAGCTTCAGGAACACGTTCGCTAATAGCAATCCAATTGACAGACGACTGAGCAATTCTTCTAGCCATTTTAATTAATATAATAACTTGTATAAAAAATTGATAACAAAAGCACACTTTGTTTGAATTTATTCAATTTACAAATGATATTCAGATTCTTACAAATTATTTATGTTATCACGCAGCTGTTGGGATGGCAACGATATATCGAACTTATCGATATACTGTTTCGATATATCGATTTTTTTTAATATCGATTAAAGATTTTCGATATCTATATTTAAATTTGTATTTTTTGTTAGTTTGTCTAGCCAATGAAAAATTTTAAATGTTTATAAATACATTAAACTTTAAGTTATATGCATGCAATAGAAAATAAAAGCTATTTGTAGTCCAGGTTACTCTAGATGTTATGTTCACTTTTACTTTAAGGGAACTATCCCATAAGATAGTACCCTTAAGTCGATTACTACTGAAATTCATAAGTTCGCCATTAAGGTTAAGTCGGACATTGACCTTAAAGAACAGCTTGAAGTACGCGTTCGTCAATTAAGTGTTTTTTGAAAAACAGTTTCGCGAACATCAAGAGGCTATTGTAAGCGCGTTAATAGAACTCTATCGTGTCGCACAGTTCGATAGTATCGTTTCGCCGGCGACCTTTGAAATGGAAAACGTGTTTTATGATATCAGTGCTGCTGCATTACTAGTTCGAACACCCCGCAACCCATTTACTCATTTTAAAATGAAATAAAATACATTTGTAAATTAAATAGAGTGTTTCACAATTTTCTATTTCGTGCACGAGAATTGCTGTGATCACACTGTATGAAATTAAACAATTTCTAATAATAACACAATATATTTTCCTTTTATATAAATATTTATTCCAATATATTTTTTGAAAATTCAGTAAAATTATAATGTAACTAACAAAATGAAAAACTTAATGGGCAGCTTCAACTTTTTTTTTGTTTTCCTGACCCTTCTTCTTGCGGCTCGTCAAATACATAATCAATTTCTTGATGAGGCCAGAATGATGGCTTGTTTTCAAGATCTAATGTCAAATCAGGTTCAATATAAGCAGCATCTTCATAAGTCATTTGGGAATATGGCAACAAATTCTTAATTTCCTCGATCCTTAATTCTGCTTCTTTAATATTAGATGCAGCTACCTTTTTAAATTCTTCTATTTCCTGCATCTGTAATTTTCATAAGAGAATAATTAGACAATGACATTATATGAATAAATAGTAAAAATTAAAAGCACAAAAATAAAACCTTTAAATTTTATTATTTTTACTTTTTAAAGACAATTTTCTAAAGAGTAATTAAAATATATATGAATAAACAAAGAGAATATGTACAGTTTTTTTTTCAGAGCTATCAATAAATGCTCTATATTTGTCTTCGGGATATGGAATTTTAACGGCATTGTATTGATTTTCGAAATTTTCAACCAAACCAGCTATAGGAATAGCATTCTTGTATTTGGCCCAATCAATTTTAGGTGCTTCTGGGGATAATGCAAACATTCTGCAAATTATTTCATTCAATATTTAAAATATATATTAGTAATATAAATTTATATCATTTTTTTCGTTACTCATTTATCACATTATATTAATCTATAAAATTTTAATTTTTTGAAATATTTAGCGATAAACATTTAATTCGGTAAAAAATGATCTTTACATACTTTCGGAGGTACCCATCAGATTTAGCTTTAAAAGCTAAATAAGCAGATTTTTGAGCTTCAGGAACACGTTCGCTAATAGCAATCCAATTGACAGACGACTGAGCAATTCTTCTAGCCATTTTAATTAATATAATAACTTGTATAAAAAATTGATAACAAAAGCACACTTTGTTTGAATTTATTCAATTTATTCAGAATTTTCTATTCCTATTAACCACCCAACCATTCTCATACATTATATAACATGTATCCGAATATGAATTTAAATTTGATTGTAGTGTCACATACTGGATTACTTTTCGTTATAAATTTGAATAGGTATAAAGAGTACCATTGAAAGGTATAAAAACAAACGAGTGTACACCACTAACCGTACACCTATACAACATTTTAGCTTCGTTGCGAAGCCTTTGGTTTTACTAAAATGTGTTTATTTTTTTTTTGTGTGTCTGTTACCACTTTTTCTCAGCTCTCACCCAACCGATTTCTTTCAATTATACGTCAAAAGATCACAAACCGTATATAGTCGAAGACATTACCCTCAAAAATTGAAAAAAATTCCCTCGTTCGCCGTAAATGGAGGAAACCTCCAAAAAAATTACAAATTTAAAAATCGCTAATTTTTTCATTTTTTCATTTTTTTTTACTTAATATTGCTATAACTTTTTTAAAAATAACCGAATCAATATAATTTTTTTTTTTATAGATACTTGATGTCTTTATCTATCATTTGATATATTTTTTTATAAATTTGACCCTTTATCTGCCCACGAGGGGGGATTTTAAAACACAAGTTTTTCACAAAAAATTAATTTGTTCAACTTAAATTTTGAAAGTGTTCCGGAAAGTCTAACACTTTTATATATATCTTAAATTAAAGTTAATATAATATACTTTATTATGCAAAAAAAAAAAATTTCGGACTTAATTTTATCTTCATGGTGAAAACAGACATCAAAGATTATAAAAAAAATACAATTTTTGTAAAAAAATTCTTTTTTATATTTTTTGCATTATAATGCTATAACATTTTAAAAAACCCAACAAAGGTGGGTCGCGGCACAGTGGTGACGTGGCATAGATGGATCAAGCATAATGATATCTGACAGTGATTAAAATCACTATCAAAAAAAAAACGCTTCGATGCAAATCTTTAGATAGTGTTTAACATTAAAAAATTGGTGGATTATTCTAAAAGCTACATGATCTGCTAGTTATTAATATCCTAATTAAGATAAAGTATGTCGAATGAAAAAGGGATTATTAAAAAATAATATTTCTCATAAAAAAATAATGCTGATCCATACACTTTTTAATATGTCAGCATTATAGAGTTAAAAATGTAAAATACAAAATCAAAAATTTTCACTCAAAAATAGCAATCGGTAGCTATTTTCACCGTGAAGATAAAATAAAGTCCGAAATTTTTTTTTTTTAATTAAAGTATATTACATTAGCTTTAATTTAAGATATATATAAAAGTGTCAGACTTTTCGGAACATTTTCAAAAGTTAATTTTTTGTAAAAAAGTTACCATTTTGAAACCCTTCCTGTGGGCTGTTAAAGGGTCAAAAGTTCACAAAAATATATAAAATGATAGGTAAATAACTAAGGTATCTATAAAAAAAAAAAAAAATTATATTGATGCGATCATTTTTAAAAAAGTTATGGCAATTTTAATCTAAATTTAATTTAAATCTTCGACTAGATACGATTTGTGATCTTTTGACATATTGTTCATCAAAATCGGTCCAGCGAGAGCTGAGATTGAGCGTTCATAGACACACACAAAAAAAAAACTCATCATAGTAAAATTAATACCTTCGAAGCTAAAATTATATTTATATGTACATTTTTGAAAATGTTACGGCACATTTTAGTAAAAAAAATTGAAAAAATTTCGAAAATTAGCGATTTTTAAATTTGTAATTTTTTTGGAGGTTTCCCCTATTTACGGGGAACGAGGGAATTTTTTTCAATTTTTGAGGGTAGAAAAAATTCGAATAATTTTGTTCTTATAATTCTTTTTTATCAGATGGGCTGTTCATCCGTTATAGCGTTTTAATACGTAGAGGGTATATAGTTCAGTGTAGTCATATCTTGTTAAATCAAAATCTACTACTTATAATACGAATAAACGATATCCTATGTCACTAACAATCGGACTTTTATTGTACTCGTAACTGGATATCACAAAATATAATTTTTCAATTGTAAACTCTCAATAAGTAACCCACATATTTTTTGGAGGAGTAATACTTATAGAAGAAATGGAGATTTAGGGACTTCGAGCATTTAATTAGCTTTTAAAAAATTATACTACTTGTTATATTATTCTATAGAATAGGAGAAATAATTAATTTTTCCCTCATTAGAATTTACCTTTTATTTTACATTATTTTAGCCTATGGTAATATTTAATAAATAAAGTATATAATTGGAAAACGTTTAAAAATAAATTAAAAACAATTATAAAAATTGACAATTTTTATTAAGTATAAATTTTATTTAAAAGTAAGAAAAGTAGACAGAAAAAAATGTAACAATTATTAATTATAAAATATTCTTTTAGCTAAAACACAATAAATAATTACAAAGAGTTTATTATTATTTAGCAATATTGTCCTTTGTAAGTAGAAGCTTGCCTAGGCAATTCTTCAGTCTTTTATTTATATATGTTTTTTTTTGTATAAATAAAATAGTTAAGTAAGACTTTTATCGATGTATATACACAGAGTGATTTAATTATCATGACTCACTCATCTTTAGTTACACATTATCACTTACAGAATAAATATAATTTAAACATTTATTTTTTGGTTATGATTATTCTTCAATTAACAATGGAATAATTGAACAATGGATTATAAGAATGTCAACTATGTTTTTTTTATTAATAGGAATTTAATAAAATGTTTGAGTTTTTAATTTAATAGTAAATGGCATTTGAATTAAAAATTAGACTTAGAAATAGATATAATATAGAAAAACCAATAAGGTATAGAACAGAAACATTTTATTCAAAAGGTGAAAATCTAGTTACATATAAAGAAGCTATAACACAAGAAAATTTAGAAAATTGGTAAGGAGCAATGGATGAAGATTCATCATTGAAGAAATGTTATCATTAAAAAAGAATGAAACGTAGAAATCAGTAAATATGCCAACAAATAAAGTACTTAACAATAGTTGGGTATATCGAATCAAACTCAAAAAAAAAAAAATGGAGAAGTTGATAGATTTAAAGCCAGACTAGTAATAAAAGGTTATGCACAACAAGTGCATGAAATTTATTTTCAAGATAATTTTAGTCCAGTTGTAAAGTATGACTCTATAGGAGTATTACTAGCAATAGCAGCAGCCAGAAAATTAAAACTCAAACAATTATACATTAAAACGGCTTTTTTATATGGTGATCTTGAAGAAGAGATTTACATGAACCAGCCAAAGGACATGAAGATAGAACTAAACAAGTTTGCAAACTTTAACGAAGCTTGTATGGATTGAAACAAGCACCCAGATACTAAAATAAAAAAATTTGTTGTTTAACTTTGATCTAAAAGAAACAAAGGCAAATTGCTATGTATTTGTAAGCAATAAAAATTAATAATTAATGATTGTAGCTATTTTTGTAAATGATGGGATTATAGCAGCAACAAATGATGAATAGGTGGACATGATGGTGAAGTACCTGAAGAGCAACTGTGAGATGAAAGCAGGTGAACCTACTGGGAAATGGAATCTATCAGAAACCGGATGGGTCAATATTTGTACATCAGTCATTATATTGTCAACGTGTTTTGGAGAGATTCAATATGGGTGAATCCAACGCTCTATGTATTTCTGCAGATCCACAACACTCATAAGATGCAAATTTATCTAAATCATTACAAGCAGGGGAAGTTTCATACAGAGAAGTAGTAGGAAGTTTGTTATATCTAAGTAAGATTACAAGGCTTGATATAATGTTTGCTGTATCTTATCAGTTGTTATTTAGAAAAGCCTCTGATAATACATTGGAATAAAGTGAAACATATTTTAAAATATTTAAAAGGAACCTTTAACTATGGTTTACTTTTTTATTCTAGATGCACACTATGTAGGTGATACAACAACTAGGCAATCAACATCAGAATACATTTTCATGATGAGCAATGGAATAGTAGTATGATGTACACAAAGCAAAAAATCAGTAGTACTTTCAACTATTGAGGCTGAATACATGGCACTGAGTCAAGCGAACCAGGAACTAACTTGGTTGACGCTACTAACAAGTGATCTTCTGGAAATACAGGGAGAGATACCTGTGTTGTATTTGTACAATCAAAATGCCATAGAATAGGTGAAGAATCCAGAATTTCATAAACGAAGTAAATATATAAATATTCGTTATTATTATATTTGTGAGGAGTTCAATGAAGGGATGTTTTTACTGGAGTATGTGACCAGCAAAGAACAGTTAGTTTACATTTTGACCAAACCAACACCACAAACAAGATTTCCAGAGTTCAGAGAAATGTTAGGAATAAGACATATAGATTTATAATTTTTTATTAATGAACTATGTAAGGGTATATTGTTTTAGGGGAAGTGTTGATTTTATTAAACACTCTGAGTACAGTAATATTATTTAAGATAACGGTTCAAAATGTATTTTCACTTATGTTAGTATAATACAAGATCAAAAGGGATATATTCCTTTCTTAGTTATGTTGTTTTACTCAATGCACCCTATTGTTTATATGTTTAAGATTTAGTTGTAGTTTTGTTGTCTATCGAGTAAAGCGACCAATTGCTGTTATATCATACGTTTTGATATTTTATATTATATACTACTATATTATGAATAATTTCTAAACATTTTAATTACATAACCTATTTTATTTAACAATACTAACTGGCACTACAAAAAGTATATATATTTGTGGCGGTTGAATGTTCTAGAACGTTCGGCCGCCGCCGCCTCTAGAAGATTCGTCGCTCTACATAAGCGTGTGGCGGTCGAATGTCGCTCCAGTCAATCAGTCGATCAGTCAATCACTTACGCACTCTGTCTTAAACGCGCTTCGTCTCTCGCTGTTATTTGTTAGTTCGTTGTAATATAGTATAGTTGTTATTAAATCGTAAAAGTGTTTATTACTTCTATATATTACACCTCGCTACATTGGTGACCTCGACGATAACAAGTATGAACGCCGAAGAACTACGCAATCAATTGGAGGACTTACGCCAAGAAAATGCTCGCCTTGCAGTACTACAGGCACAGCAATATCCAACAGCTTCAGTGAATCGTGTTGCCGTCAAGTTGCCACCTTTCTGGTCCGAAAGACCGAGCTTATAGTTCTCACAGGTTGACTCGCAGTTTGCAATCTCGGGAATAACAAGTGAGGAAACAAAATTTAATTATGTTGTGGCTCAGCTTGATACGCGTTACGCCGCCGAAGTAGAGGATATTATTACTAACCCACCGCCTACTGAACGCTACAAACATCTACGCGCAAAACTCGTTGAACGGTTGTCTATCTCAGAAGAACAACGTGTGCGGCAACTCATCAATGAAGAAGAACTAGGTGACCGTAAGCCATCACAGTTCTTACGACATCTCCGTTCCCTTGCCGGCACTACTACATTACAAGAC